TTGTATATCATCAAATGAAACGTTCATGTGCTTAACGCTTAGCTGAAGCCATTGTTAAAAATAAAACCGAACCAATATTTCGTCCCGATGAACAATTATTAAATGATACATTCTATATTCAATGTCCTCTACGACATCTGAAAGCTATTTGTTGAAAATCACCAATCTCATCTCGTCATATGCGTCAACATTTAACTGGTATACATAAACTTGATGGAATAGCAAGATGTCAAATAATGATGACACTTCGAAAACAACCATCATCATCATCATCATCATCATCATCCAATAAAAAATTAACTAAAGCAACTTCTTTTTGATGTTTTATTTTTATTTTTTGTTTTGTTTTGCATAATCTGTTTTATATCAATTATGAGCAGTATTTTATTTTTGTTCCATGATATATATATTTTTTATTTCTAGATATGTCAGTAATAGATAAAAATGAATATCGACAAAATGCATCCGATGATGATGATGATGAGAATGATGAAAAAAATTCTAATGATGAACAAGAAGAAGAAATAAATATACTTGAACAAGTATAAGGATTGTTTTCATCAGATATATTTCCAAATGTGATAGAAATGTTTCGTGCTTAATCAATTACAATTTGATCTTGTGGAATTTCTTAAAACACACCAAATTGTTTCACAATATGATTATATCCGATTAATTAATTATATTCGTCTTGAAGTCAGTTTTTATTTTAAAAATGTTTTCATCAAATGTCTTTTTTTCTATTTAGAAACCTTCAATCGATGATTTAAAACTATCGACATAATCACCATGGGCAGAAGATAAATATTTCACAACAGTTATTGATAATGATCCAGCATTACAATTTGGTAATAATAACAAACAAAAATAATAAATTTTTCTTTGTGAAACACGATCTAAAAAAAATACTATGGAACTGCCATAGATCGTGACAGCAGAGATATCCATCGTGGCTGGAAATTTGCTGCTGACGCTGTCGCGTTGGCAACACAGCTGCGCCATCATGGATATTTCTGCACGACAGTCGTGATTGACAGACACGTGATAGACGTTAATGATATACAATCAAAGACTGTATATCAATAATGTCTCATTATAACAAAAGGATAGTGAAGAAATGTGTCCTAAAATATATAGAAAAAAACAATCTTCGTGCGATTAGTAATAGCATCTACATCGTGTTTCACATTTTAATGCCACAGAGATTGTGATAACAGCTTTTTTTTCGTGTTTTAGATATTGAAGAAGATTTAAATGAACTTGACAATATCAAAAACTATCCAAGAAAATGATCAATTAATAAAAGCTAATCAAAGAATTCGAGAATTAGAAGACATGGTTGAAACATTAAAGTAATTGAAATAAAATGTTTTTTTTTTATTCTTAAGGAAATTATTTTATATTTTTGATAGATCTATGACATTTCGATTATTAAATGATCAATCTACCAATGTAACGACAATATCAAAAGCAAAAACTAAAGATGATATTCAAGACGACGATTATTTTGCTACATATAATTATTATGATATTCATAAAGAAATGCTTCACGTATGGTAAGTAAAAGAATTAATGAATTGATATTTCTTTTGAATTTGATGATGATTATTCTAGGATAAAATTCGTATTGAAAGTTATTTAAAATCAATAAAAGAAAACGTCGATGTATTTCATAATAAAATTGTATTAGATGTTGGATGTGGAACAGATATACTTTCTATGGCATGTATTAAATATAGACAAGCAAAAATGGTTATTGCTGTTGATATGTCGGAAATGATTTATGATGCTATGACTATTGCTAAGTAAATTTTTCTTTATCTGAAATAAGATATTAAAAGACAAAACAAAAATATTTGTTTTTTCTCTAGAGAAAATAATATTGATGAATCGAAAATTATTTTTATTCATGAAAGAATTGAAGATGTGAATTTACCTGTTGAAAAAATAAATAATGAATTTTATTGATATTAGAAATTGAATGTTCAAATTTTTTTAAAAACAAAGGTTGATATTATCATATCTGAATGGATGAGTAAGATAATAATGTTGAGAAGAAATGTTTACTCTAAAGAATAATTTTTTAGGCTATTATCTATTATTTGAATGTATGTTAGAATCGATCATCATTGCTCGCAATACATATTTAGACAAAGAAAATGGTTTGGGTAAGTTATTTATTTATTCATAGATATTCAACATGTCTCGAAATGGACTTACTAATTCAAACTTTACTTTTTCTTCAACAAAAAAACTTATCTTTTCATTTAGGCAATAAATAAAAACTAAGCATTGGTTCAATCAATAATATTCTTTATCGAACCAAAAAACTTTTACGTTATTGATAATGTAAAAAACGATGATAAAGACATTGAAAATATTAGTAGCAAAAATGAATATGAGAGCGATTTATTTTGAGACTAATATGTATATTATTTAAGATGTCAAGATATGTTGCTGCATCTCTCAATGATTTTCACATAATCTTCTAAAATATATAAATCATGACTAGAGATGCGCGGAACCAAGTTTTTTTTATTTATTTAGCCTACGACTATCACTTTTTTTTTTTGGGTGATCGCTCTTCAATTATGTTTTGATTGATGATTTATATGATAATACGCTTAAAATCGTAGAATATTTAACTTCAGTTAGAGCAACTTTTTTTCTCGTCCGACCGAGTTTGGTCTCTTACATCTCTAATCGTGATTATGTGACATTTGGACGCAAGTTTTACACGACTATGAAAGATATCACTCCTATTGAAAAAGTGTTGATCCCGGGAGCATATTTGCCCATATCTTCTAAAAGCGAATAATCTACTTCTGAGAGATTTCTATTAATCAATGATAGTCTTTATGAAGTTGAAGTACTACCAAATAAATCATGGTTTTATGGTTCAATAAGTAATTCGAATTATCTTTTATGTTGTTTTTTACAAGCATTCAAATGATTTGACTTTATTAAGGTTTTGATAAATTATCGAAGTGATTGTTGATTTCTATCGTTTAGAAACTTTTCTTTTGTAAAAGAATTATATTTATAATCAGTGATGGTGTAAGTTTAACAGAGCTTTCATAGTGTAGAAGTTTTGCTCTATGCAATCGAAATATAATTTTATAGAAACTTTGAAATTAGACATTTATATATTCTTAATTTAACATGGAATATCATCCACCGAATGTTATTTTTTTTTCTTCGTCTAAAAACACGAAACTTTTTCAAATTCCACTAATTTTCTTAAAATATTTCATATTTAGTATTACCCGATGATTTTTCCATACATATGGCGGGTTTTCATTCTGATGATCTTTATCATGAACATATTGGTTATTGGTCAAATGTTTATGGTTTTGAAATGAATACTATTGCAAAAAAGTATTCTTATTGATGGTCATGCTATAATTGTACCAGCTAATGATATCATGACTAGTGATTGTTGTATTCAAGTAAATTGAATAAACTTTTTTTTTTGTCTTCTTCAATAAAATTTAATTTTTAGACTTTGGATATTTATATACATGTTCAAAAGATGATATTACTTTTACACATCCATTTACTATTCAAGCACTTAAATCTGGTTCTATATCAGGTTTTGTTTGTCATTTTGATGTGAATTTTGCTAAGAATCTTATTGAAAAGGTAAAACATTATGTTAAAGAAATAATAACATCTTAGTTACATTTTTTTTTCTTATTGGATTAGAAGTGAATATTTATTTTTGATTTCTCTCTAGATGCATTTTTCTACATCACCTCGATCACCAAATACTCATTGGAAGCAAACCGTATTTTTTTTACCTCGATTATATAATGTTCAAGAAGGTGAGAAGAATATTAATTATTTGATATAGATATATTTCTAAATAATTTATGTATTAGGTGAAGAAATAATTGGAAAAATTTGATGTCAAAGACATCCAAATGAAAAACGTGGTCTTATTATCCATTTATACGTATTCGATTCAAAATTTAAATTCTATCTAGAATAATGAATTTTGTTTGATTGTTATTCTTAATTTTCTTTTTTTTTGTCTTTTGTTTATTGTTGAAAAGAAATAAAAAAAAAAAAAGAAACATCAATTAACTGAGATCAGAAGAATAAGCCAATATTTTAATCAACAGTTTTTTGTACAATAATGTTTGAAGTGTAAGAAAAAAGAAAATTATTTTTTTGTTTTTTGTCATGGTATAGAGATTTTACTTCAATTTTATATCGTTTGATGTTATTCTTATAAAGAAAAAGACATGATGTTTTAAAAAATGATTCAATTATTATTTTTATTCAAAACTCTTACGAGAGATTCGCTCGAAGCGATACTTTGTGTGTGAAATGAGACCTCACGTGAGTCGAGTCCGAGTCAGTAAAAAAATGTGACTCGAGTCGACTCAAGTCCGAGTTTTGACTCGGACTCGCCCATCCCTGCTATGTTATGATGACAAGACTTTATCAACTTACAGAACACGAGAAAACTACTGCAGCTATCTGCAATAATCAATTTCGCTCATAGAAACAGTAATATTACAGTCTTCTCATTCAGCTTGTTGCGGTCATAATATAATCCTTTCAGAAAAGGGTGAGCGAATCATTAGATGAACGTTACTTGTTTCAATAAATGAAGTAATAATTAATCCAAATACATATAATTTAATATAACAATGTAGTATTAGTTCCGAAGATATTATTAAATCAAATTGTGTTGCATTCTTCTTATCGAAGGGAATCTATTGTATAACTGATATTAATAGTAAATATCAAAAAGCTTCCAGATTTTATTTGTCTTATTTTAAATAGGATTGTTTTCGAAGATTTCTTTTTTTGTTATTATATCTTATGTCTTTCTACTCTGCAAATTTTGTATTTTGAAAAGACTTTTTCTTCTTTAGCATCGATAGTTCTGACATTACGCATCGAGAGATCTGTTATATTGATGAACTATTGTACTAGCAAAATCTCATTAGCTATGGTCACAATCTAAAAAACAACGATGCTAATTTTATCCTTCCTAAACAACATGTTGTCCATGATAATAGAGACCCTTCTACGTACCAATCTTTAATATAAGAGTAAGTTTAGTTTGTTTTATTAAAATCAAATAAATGCCATCGACAGAGAACGAGTCAATTCATTAAAAAGCCATTAGATGAAATTATTCTTAAACGATACAGAAGAAGCATACACTTTAATAATTCTCATTGATTAGTTCGTTTTTGTTAAAGTGTGATACGGGTTTATTATTCATCATATCAGACAATTGAATTACCCAACGAAAAATTTAGTTAATTTGATCATTATAAAATGAATAGCATTTTAATGAACTGCATTTTATTATCTCGATGATGAATTATAGCTCTACTGTGTGCTGATCATGCATGTTTAGTGACTATTTGAAAAACAAAAAGAATGTCAAGTCATCTACTTCTTTGTCTGGTTTTGTTGTTACATATGATTATTATCAAGTACATACCATCGCAATTAGATTATATAATACTGTATATTCTACTGATGTTAATTCTAAGATAGACAATCTAACGAGGGAACCACCCGAGGTGTCAAAAAGCTTTTCAGTCGGGGATATGATGGTTAGATAGGGCATAGCTAGGAGTGATATACCCTAAGTTAGTTNAGTTATAGGAAAAACGACTTTCTTAGGGTGAATCAAGGGAAAGAGTTCAAATTTGAGCTGTATTCGCCCCGAAGTCATATTGGGTGAGCAATAGCCAATAGAAGTCAAGTGTTTATAGGAAAGATTTGCCAGGATAATTTTGATGTCCACACATTCTAGGATGACTCATCTGTCTAATTCACTTGTTGAAGTACACATAACTCTCGGATTTAAATCCGAGGTTTCCACATTTATTTAATCATGTAGTCTAACCTGAAGACATAGAAAAGAATGGAAAGAAATAGTACTTACATGTATGTCGTACATAGTGTGTGTACTATATAGTACAAGGAAACCAAGAAAATAAGACAAAAACATGAATTACATTATAATACATATCAATTTCTATTCTTACCCTTTGACTTAATTGACTATCGGTAAATTTTATTTGTTGATCTTTAAATTTATAAATAAATATGATTCATCACTAACTAACTATTTACGTCATTTACTGATCATTTCATCTAGTTTACTAATCAAATATTTTGGTTTCAATAAATAATTGTAGATAATTTTAAACAAAAGTTTTATTCAATGACAAAACTATTTTTAATAATAATTCTTTTCTAATCTTGATAAATAATATAATAATTTTTTAAAAATACATCAAAATTGAAATCTAAATTCGAAATTAAGTTTTAACTTAGCATTGTTAAATATATCGTTTATATACAGGGTTTTTTTTAAAGACTATGAGCCTATATTCATTCTAGTATATCTTTCCTACAAAGTACATAGATTATCGATATTCTATATAATGTTTATATAAATTTTTTTTTAAGGTTCTCATCAAACACTTCTTTCTTGTGTTCCAACACCCACGTTATTTTTAACAACACAAAAAATTTTAATTAATATCGTTCGACTTATGAAATATATTCTTGAACAATTAAACAAAACATCATGTTTACCAATATCAACAGAAAAAGATTATCTAAAATTTATTCATGATAATATTCCAGAATTAAGACATGTTTTAGATAATCGTCGTATATATATTGATAAAATGTCTAGTACAAACAATGATCAGTTATTTCCAATATGTATTTTTCAAGAATATTTATTAAATGGAATTAATTTTCTATATTATATTAACAAGATTGATGGCATATATAGTACTACGAGAAAAATTGTAGTAGAAAAATGTGAATAAGAAAAAAAAGAAATTTTTTTTTTTGGTTTTTTTACTAAAGTAATAAATATGTCTGTTTGTTCTGTTTTTTCGGTTTTTCTCGGTTCTGTTGTTTATTACATAATATTGCAACAACAATAAGGTCCAGTACCATAATATGGAGGATAATTTCTTTCATAAACAGGTACCCAATATTCACGTCCTGTAGGATTAACTGTTGATAATGGTTGAGGTAATTCAATAGTTAATATTTGATTTTGATCCATACGTGCACGTACTTTATCCGGATCAATATTTGATGGTAATTGATATTGTCTAAAATATTCACGATTAATATTATTACCAAGTGTATTATCAATATGTTGACCACTTATTTTAAGTAAACCATTTCGATTTATTCGAACAGTTACATTTTCTGGTCTATAGCCTTGTAAATCAAATGTAAGAATATTATTATAATTTATTGTCTGTAAATCATAACGTCGTGGTCGAACATCAATATCAACACGAAGACGTCCATGAGTATCAATTGTATTTCTTGCAAGTGTTGTTTCAACATTAGGTCCACCAAGATTATATTCACGTCGAAATTCACGACATGGTGGACGATGTGCACGTATGCGTAATGTACCATTATCATCAAGTAGAACAGTTATTTGTTCGGGTTCATAATCAATTAAATCAAATTCATATGAATATGTACGATAACCTTGACCATGATCATGTACTGTATAACGATTTGAGGGAGATATTGGGGATCCTAAACGATTTTTTTCTAAGGAATTTTGAGTATAAACAATAGGTATAATAGTCGAAGAAGCCATATGTTTTGTATACTAAGAAAGCTAACGTTATAACGACGAATAGAATACCTTGCTTGTATCCTTTGTCGTTTCTTTCATCATTTGTATTTTCTTCGTTCTGTACAAAAACAAATACTGTCATCAAATAGAAATAACTAGCTGTATCCTTGACACTATTTTTAGCACGCATTCTCGTTATATGTGCATGTGTATGTGGCTTTTTTTTGGCTTGTAGGGTGAGACGCATATACATACTCATACCGAAACTAGAAATATGGATAAAATGTAGAGAAAAAAGAAAAAGGAGAGAATACTCATAGAAGACACTCGTTATGTGTTATTCTTGTAGTAGGCAACTATATTGCCAGTTGGTCGGACACCTACAGACTCAATCTTGATAATATATGATAAGAAAATAAAAAAGAGATGTCTACATAGATTTTCGCTTCCTATGCAAGATTTTTTTGCATAAAGAAAGTACTCTCGACAATTTTTTATATACAAATTTAATGTTTCTTACATTTTTATTTTATGCATACAAACAACTTAATAGAAGAGTTTAATAGAATAATATTAAAACGTTTTCGATTTTGATACTTATTTTAGTATACATGGTTTTTTTTCTTGAACAAAATAGCTCTTTTTATCTACGTGATGTGATAAATGAACTCGACGCTATATACTGATGTAAAGATAATTAGAACATTCAGTTATGCAATCTATGAGAATTAACGCGTAGTATATTATGTCAGAAAAGCGATTGATTAGATTATTTGTTTTATGTAGTAATATAGTCAATAGACAAAATAGCTGTTGGTCTTACAAGACAATGTTATCTGATAAGTAAAAAGGTTACGTAAGTTTGATGTTGGCATATTTGACGAAAAAGAGATTGATGGATTCCGTTGAAAGTTTTGAATGAGATAAATCTATCAAAGAATCAAGTAAATTACTTGATATAATAAAAATGTGTTTTTATTCATTGAATTTTATAAATAATATTAAATCATCACGGCTCTTGTCTTCTACTTCTTATGACTATATAGATAAGTAATGACAGTTAATAACTAAAAAACGAAAAAGCTTGTCAACGAAGTCCTCTTGAGGTTAAAATGTGTAAATGTTCTTTAGAATCATTATACAAATACAAACTACGTGAAGTAAAAAGTTTATAACAGGCTTATTCATTTCTGTATTTCAAATAGAAATTTCTTTTACTGGCGCTTTGTTTTTTGTTTTCTTGCTATGCGCTCGTTATTTTCTTAATGCAGCATCATTATTATTCTAATCCTTTATGTAACTGACAAATAATCTTGTTGTACATATTCATTATATATATACGGCAAGTCTCAAGACGTTAGTATACATGTCTATAAGCTGAGAAACATTAATATTGATTATTCCCTAAAGTTTTTACTTGATCAACTGACGCATCTTATGCTGATCACATGACGACTATGGCAAAACAATGCATCAGTATTCATCATCCTCCATATTTCTTTTTGTCTCTATAAAAATTAGAAACTGGGTGTTTTAGAACATTCACGAATGTAGCTTTTTCTGTTACTGAGGAACTGTGGGAGAGCAGACTTGTGCTGGTCAACCTCGATTGACATTGGAACGTATTCAACGATCTTTGATCCTGATCACTATGAAGGTGAGGAAGCCGCAAAACCTTAACTTAAACTTCCACTCATTATTTTCATTTTGAACTCTCTTAAAATAATATCGTTCGCTTTGTTAAATATTTAGATACAAGCTGATTAAATCGGCATATTCAAGAGCTCGATCCCAGTTGATAAAAAAATTTGTTGTTGTTTTTATGATAATTTCGATTTGATTATTATTTCGGCAATCGATGTTTTATTACCAGCAAATGGCTAAAAGTCAATGTCATCATGACCAATTAGTTTCTAATGCAGAATTTAATAAAAAGAAGTTGCATACGATGATGCTAGTATGATTCTTTCGAATAAAAATAATACATGTAATGTAGCATTGAAATAGACAGCAATACTACAAGTATTGACTTTTCAGTTATTCATTCTTGTAAGAGTTTTATTTCTTTTTTTTTTTGCATATAGCTAATCTGTACAGTTAAGTTAACTAATCTTTCATTAATTGTCAAACGTTCAATAACGATGACCAAAACTCACGTCAGTCATCTTTAAACTCATCGAGCGATACCGATAGTGCTTGTTAATAGTGGCTGATCCAAGATTTGTCAGTATGCTGGATTTCACATTTAGAGCATGGGACCTAGATGAAACTTATAGAGGTATGATATTGGACACAAATGATTGAGTTTTTATCAAAATATTTTTGCAATGCGAGTTTGCGAAAAAAATTAGCATTTTCCTGAGCCCCCCCCTCAAGGTTTTTCTTTTGCTATTAGTAGTATTCTAATTTTTAGAATTTAATAATAAGCTACATCAAAATTCATCGGCAGATTTCAAATTTCATTAAAAAATATGCATTTGTTCAGGAGTTATAATGTTTTGAATTTTTCCTAAAATTTTAGCAGCATGTAGCAAAAATCAAAAACATTATAACTCCTGAATGGATACATATTTTTAGATGAAATTTAAAATCTGTCAATGAATTTTGATGTAACTTATTATTAAATTCTAAAAACCAAAATACTACTAATAGCAGAAGAAAAACCTTGAGGTGGCTCAAGAAAATACTAAGTTTTTTTCAAAACTTCCATTGCAAAAATCTTTCGATAAAAACTCATCATTTGGGTCCAGTATCATATCTCTATAAGTTTCATCTGGGTCCCATGCTCTGAAGGTAAAATTCAGCATACTGGAAAATTCTGAATCCGTCACGACTGGTTAAGTACATGTCTGAAGCAAACCATAATCTGTAAAAAAATCTTTTGCCGATGAAAGTTCGATTTTTATCCATTGATTTGCATTATAATAAATGTTTAATCGAACATCAAACAATAATAATTATTATAAATATGTTATTAACAGATATAAAACTATTATGTTTTTTGTCTTCTATTTGTGTACTTCGTAATTTTCAAAAAATAAATTAATTTTAATGTTATTGAAAAATATGTTGACTTCATCTTCCCTATAAAATAATGATGAGAAGACATTTGGGTTTTTAAATATTTGCATTTCAAATAAACACTTTCTATCCTATTATGGATAGCTCGTTTATATTTCTCACTGTAATAGCATGCTGACTATGTTGTGACATACACCCACTCTTATGACTAGCATCTGGCTAGTCAGTGTGTACGTGAAGCTTAAGCAATTGATAGCAAGAACTCTGCATCAGACTGGTCTTCTGTCTACATCTACAGTTAGAACCAGTTGTACGGAAGACATCGAGCTAATAACTCTGTCCTCAGACAGCGTTCCATACCACAAAGTAGCTGAAAGACAGGGGTATTCTGCTTCTTTTTATTATTTTGTGAAATACGAGCTAAAGGAGGTGTTGACATGTATAGGCTAGAACTTTGGATCTACTCCAAAATTTACGAAATCATTTTATAGAACGTCTTTTGGATCAGACACCAGACCCGGGGTCAAAATACCTTAGAAGTCCATCACAGATTGTCACAGAAGCTAACCGGAGATCGCCACATACTATGGCATAGGTTGTTGATATATAATCATAGATTGTATATCAACAATAGCTCGTTACAATACATTAAGTACTTCTTTATTACACTTTTGGAGGAAGAAATAATAAGACAATGAAAAGATTTGGCTCAACGTACATAGAACAAAACAATCTCTCAATGATTATCAGCAACAGCTACATTGGATTTCATATTTTAATCCTACAGAGATTGCTCTAACAGTTGTCACATTGTTTCGACTGTGACGTGCTATTCTATGATCAGACAGTTTCCGATAGTTGACATTCCTTTTTTTTTCATCAGATATAAACATTTATTTATTTCTTGTTAAAGTTCATACAACATCAAAAAAAAAAGACGCCAAAATTAATTTTATTATCTCTTAAAGATAAATAAAATCTTTTCACTGCACAACAACAACTGCAAATTTTTATGCACATATTGTCTATTTACTATCACAAAGAACTGCAACACCTCGCAATGCCCATACATCGGGTCCAGTTTGATCACCTAATGGACATTCTAATTTAAGTGTACATACATAATTTCGATCTGTTCGGCGTGGTTTTTTATAAACAGGTGCATAATAAACTTGACGACGATCTTGTCTAATTGGTGTTCCACCTGAGCCAGGTTCTGCTTCAGCTGATATATGTATTACAGGCATTGGATGTGTTAAGACTTTTTCATTGGCTTTTAATTCTTCTAAAACACCACTTTTTATTTTCGCTCCTTCGATATAAAGACCATAAACATAAACACCTTCACGTGGTGCTTCTCTTAATGCTTCACGATCTGCTCGTAGTATTTTATTTGTTAAAATAACATTATCCAATGACCAACCAGTATTAGCTCTTGTTACTTCCTTAAAATAAAACAATAAAAATATTAGTAAAATAATGGAAGAAAAAAAAATAAAACAAGATTTAAAATTTTACTTGTCGCATGGCTGTTAAAAATCCTTGTGGATTAAAAAATCCTGTCATCCAAAAAGCAATTGGTCTCGTATCTTTATTAAGTTTTAACCATGAACGATACTGTTCATTTCGTGCATGTAAATCAGTAAACCAAGCACCCAATGTAGATGATTCCCATGACATTTTTAACCAAATATTTGGAATTTTTGCATCATACATTCGATCAAGTGCATCACGTAATTCTTCATTCATAACAATTGTACCATCAATAGCTAATTTTAATTCAACTAATGTTGATCGTACAATATTAAGTACACGTTGAAAACGATCAATTTCTTGTCGAAGAAAAATATTCATTGGTTCAAGTTTTGAAAGACGATCCTTTACTTCATGAGCAATATAATCAGGTGGTAATTTTTCTAAAGTTTCTGTTGCTATACGATATACAACAGTTTCACGTGTTTCACCTGTACCAGCACGAGCTTCTTTTGGTTGAATACTTA